TGATAAGCAATCTGAGGCTCCTGTTTTAAGGAATAAGCTGCTAGCAAGATCAATGAAACCCTATGGAGAGCTGTGATAGGCTGTTTGTTTTCTTAAAGCATATTCAAGTATTAAGCATAATTTAGATACATTTGATTAATTTTGCTAACTTCTAACTTAACTTATGAGGCAATATACCTCACCAGGGCTTTGTATGTTTTTCTGTATGTGGCCCTCGGTGGAAAAAGTGTGGACACCCCTGCTGTATTGGTTCCCTCTATAGCAATTGTTTTTATGACCTTTCTTTGCACAAGGATAATGGTTTGCCCCCCTCCCCTCTACAGGTCAGTGTCCTTCACCACTCAGCACCTGTGCATGTCAATCACATGGCCGCCCAAGCTCCGTTCATGAGACCGGTCCATCACCCTCTCATGATACACGCGCTCAACTCACACATGTCAGGTAAGACAGTAATGTCAGTGTGTTTTGAATGTGCCCTGTCCGTTAATCAGACTATTATTCGGAGTTAAAACAAAGGTTCATATTAATAGTTAACAGTGAAAACCTCTTTTATATTTCCTAAAAGTTCATCTATATTGTTCTGTTTTTACTGTACAGCAGTTGGCCTCAGATCCACTTCCACACTACAATGAATGATTACAATGCACATTTAGATTTGTGTGCCTTTGTTCTCTGTTCCAAATGATCAAGCTAGACAAGATGATTAAACTGGAGATTGCTCTGTCGTAAAGCTTTGTCTACTTGAGTTGCTGCACGCCCAGGGCAATGAAATCTAAGAGTAAGATGTTATAGGTGAAAAGAATGAAGGTCAAAACAAGACTTGTAAAAAGAGGATGTTTTATTTAAGGATAAGTTCACAGAGAGAAGGAAAACAGTGTATATCATGATGACTACTATTACTTTTGAAAGATATTAAGATAAAGCCAAAATGTCAGAGATCTACAGCCTGAGCAGACTCAGTTGTACCTCCATAAATATATTATATAACATAGAGAGTTATATTGGCTCTCCACTTCTCCTTCAGGATCAGCGCCTCCAGCAGCCACAGCTGTTATCGTGGTGTGTATCGCCGCCCTGGTGGTGATCGTGGTGATCGGCGTGTACAGGATCCACGCCACGCATCAGGAGGGGTCCAGAGAGGAGGAGGAGGAGGTCAAAGAGACTGAGGAAGACTGGGACAACTCTGCACTCACCATCACTGTCAACCCCATGGAGGTTAGGATAGATCAGTGTTTCTCAAACTTTTTCATACCAAGCAGGACCACTTAACCAATAAAAAACACTCACGGACCACCTAACTCCACAGATATCCCAAATCACATCATTTTTCTAGAACAGATTACAAATCGCCTGAAAATGGTGCAAACAAGTGGCAACATGTGTGACGAAGGTGTTGCGCTGGGCTATATCATTAAATGAAACTTAAGCTCGCTCCATTGTGGAGATATTCCTGCGAGAGTGCGGAAAACCTAAATGTATTCATTTATTTCAAATGTGAAATTTTACCAATGGACCACTAGGAGGCGCTCACGGACCACCAGTGGTCCGCGGACCACACTTTGAGAAGCACTGGGATAGATTGACATTGTATTTTTATTCCTGAACTGTGCTACTCCATCACTGCGAGTGGGACCCAGGTACCCCTCAAAAACACGCCTGTTTGCTATCCTGGCTCCTAAAGGTTGGAACGAGCTCCCTATTATAATAATATGTGAGGGTCTAAGGACAGAGGGTGTCGTTTATCTCATACTGATATTCTGAACAATCTGTGTTGTTGTATTAGCTGTAAAGTGTCTCTACTGTAGGCTATTGTTATTATATGTACAGCACTTTGGCTCGACCAAAAATCGTTTATAAATGTGCTATATAAATAAAACTTGATTTGATTTGATAATAATAATAATAAAGCTTTATTTATATAGCACTTTTCATACAACACATGCAGCTCAAAGTTAAAAACAATCGACAAGAAATTATTTTAAAGAACAAAACAAACACCAAGTGAACATATAGGTACAACAGAAAGAAAAAGAAAAAGATTAAGACCTATAAAATAAATAAAACAATATAAAGATAGGTAAATAATAAAGACTAAAAGAACATTTAAAGTGCTAATAAAAAGCTAATCTAAAAAGATGTGGTTTTAGCTGTCGTTTAAAAATGTCCACTGAGTTGACATCAGGACAGCAGAAACTCTCCATATCTCCCGTCGCTAACTGAAAACACACCTATTTCGACTGTACCTTGGCAATGAAATGATTGCTGGGAAAAAAGGGGGGAAAGCACTTATTGAGTTATTTTAGGCTTCGTAACTTATTCACCAGCACTTACGCACGTATAATATTGTTTGAAGTGAATGTATCTGCACTTTCCTTGTTGTTCCGAGTTTGATTCTTTATGCTTTTTGCACTTATTGTAAGTCGCTTTGGATAAAAGCGGCTTTTATCCAAAGCGACTTACAATAAGTGCAAAAAGCATAAAGAATCAAACTCGGAACAACAAGGAAAGTGCAGATACATTCACTTCAAACAATATTANCATCACTGCTGTCTGACTCGGCACTCGTCATGCCTCCCACCTGTTCCTCCTCCTCTTCTTCTTCTTCCTCCTCCTCCTCACGTTCTTCTTCTTTTACATCAAGTGCCTGAGCTCCTCCGAGGTTCTAGAAAACAAAGCATGATTTAGTAAAGTCACGACAGTTATCAAATAGTGACNGAGGAGGAGGAACAGGTGGGAGGCATGACGAGTGCCGAGTCAGACAGCAGTGATGAAGATGAAGAGGGGGGAGAGGAAGAAGAGAGAGAAAAGGTGGAAGAGAGGAAGCAGAAGGGAAAACTAGAGTGGGACAGTTCCTCCATAACGTACTGACCACACACACATAAACACATATCTGCACATTTAAACACACTTTACATGCCCATCGCTCTCACGCGCGCGCACACACACACACACACACACACACACACACACACACACATACACATACACATACACACACACACACACACGTTGATGCAGACATTACTTCACGCTCGCTACAGGTACACAGAAACAAAATCTCTGATCAAATAATTTACAATCTGTTGCTGGAACAAACACTGACCCTTCCCACGTTGTCATTGTTAATGACTCATCTCCCTCTGCTGAAGCACAGCTTTCTCATTATGTGGAGAATCAGCTGATAAAATGAATCTAAGCTCTTACATTTTGCGACACAAATTCTCTCCGTTTCTAACTTCAACACAAAGATAATGTGGGCTTTGATCCCAATATTTAATATGTGCAATTTTCCTCAGATTACTTTTATATTGTTTATTTTATATTTTAATCAGATTGTCTGCAAACTGGTGAGTTATTAGCAGATTTATCAGAGAGATGTATCCATATACAGTACATGTGTTAATGTATCCATAAACGTTTTAAAATATAATTCCTTTGGCCTTTATAATAGGTATAACATAGATGTCCCTCAGCGTATATCCTCTGTTCTCATAACTCAAACCTCTCTTTCTCTGAGAACATGTTACCTCTTGAAATAAACATTACACATCTGTCCTGATTTATATCAGCAGAAATGTTAACCGTCTAATATTGTCTCCCTTTAGTTTCTCAAAAGTATTTTAAGGTGATTGAAAGGTTAAAATACTCTTAGAAACAAAAGTGCTGTTTGTTTGCATCTGTCTGTGTACCAAATCTCTCCATACTGTGGCCTATTGTAGCTTTCATTGTTATACAGAAATAGAAGAAATAGTACGGAGATGTTTCCGTGTGTGTTCTGTTTAATTTAAAATAAAATAGTAAAGGGAGCCCTCTATGCAAGTATGGGCCCAGTATAAAGGACCAGTACACAGAAACAAGGGCACTGCATTCATCGACTCTTTCAAACAAAATGGCTGTCACCCCATTTCTAACATTACCCTAGAAGATGATGTGTGCTTTTAACGTTTAATATCTGCCACTTCCCTCAGAGTACTTGTATTTATTTGGTTTATTTTTTAATAACAGACGGTTTGTAAAATGATAAGTTATTAACAGATCCAAGAAGAGTTTTGAGAGATGTGAGTGACGTGTAATAAAACAACTTTTACTTTCATAACATCTCCACTCGGTACAGAGCTGAGATGTTAAGGTTTTTTGACTTTCTAACAACTCTTCAGTCAGACGCGGGACCATTTCTTTAGGGAAATGAAAATGACAGGTCCTCACTGCAGACTCTAAAAACGATTATCTCCTTATCACTCGACCCATACATGTGTTAGCAAACCACATGTTATTAGCCTTGTCTTGTTTCTCATCACTTAGTCCTGTTAAGCAGGGGCCGCAGCATGGAGCTAAGGTGGCACACTTTTTCGGATTAAACAATAGTGTTCTAATATGTTGTGAAACTGTCTCGCATTGGACGCAAATCAAGACCTGTCGAACGATATCTCACTAACTCTCGAAAATATATTTGTAAAACCGACCTAGGGTCTTTTTCAGTTTTCAGTTTGTGATGCAGGATTTTCCCTAAAAGTTTCCCTTATGTCTGAGTAAGGATCACCTCGACTACATAATTAAAGTTTATTTATCAGAACATGATTTTGTTATCGAAAGAATACTTTACGACTTAACTTAATGAGTTGAATGCTGGAGAAAACAAGTGTGTTTATCCATCTCACTTTATCAAGTCACCTCTCTGCACAACTTCACCAGAACTAGCAGTAGTGGAGACTTCTTTGATATTAATTCCTTCTTTTAAAAATCAATATTGCATATCAAGTACACTTGATTTAATCCAATGCGTTTGTCTGCATTTCATTTCTCTAAATGTAACTCCTTACACATTCCCGTTTCTACTCTGATTGCCAGTGATCACCCCTGAGGTCTGTGACTGACGCGTCTCCTGTCCACATGTCCCTCCCTCTGTCCTCCTTTAAGCACCTGTGATTGTGATGTCATAATTGTGAGACAACTACCTTGTTTCCCCTCGTTCCCCTCTGTCATATTGTGCTTCTGAAAGAGGAAAAGATTCTTTTACATATAAAAAATAAACCCTGTAAAAATGTTCAAGACAGTTATTTTATATATCCGTTTCTTTTTCTTTTTGTAAACAAAATGGTCGGGATGTCTCTCTCTTTAGTGGTAATCCTACTGATTTCTGTATATTGACCAATAAAGACTTGTTTTAGACTCTACTCAGATCTCCTACTTGTTTTTGCACTAGGCATCTGACCTGTGTGTGTCTGTGTGAGAGCGTGTGTAAGTGTGTGTGTGTTCTCCCACAATAAATGAAATATGCATCCTTATTACATCTTCAAATTGTGTTGTATAATTGAACTTCAGACAATGCTGAATAATAGCATTTGACATAAATTCATAACCTTTAATAAAGCTGCATAAAACAATCTGCAGATTATGTTCAGTACCCCTGATCTGGTCTGGCTAGTAATATAATACATAGTCAAATTGGAAAAGAGATTAAACTTGTAAATTAATGCATATTATCAACAAGTCCAGCTGTAAGTGAAAGATTGACTCTTCACACACAATTGTGTGTAACACTGGATCCAACAGGGTCCTATCTCCACATTATCAAAATGGTGGAGTATTAATGATACTACAAAAAAAGAACAAAGTATATTTGATATTAATGATGATTTAACAATCTACTGCATCATGTACAGGACTGTCTCAGAAAATTAGAATATTGTGATAAAGTTCTTTATTTTCTGTAATGCAATTAAAAAAACAAAAATGTCATACATTCTGGATTCATTACAAATCAACTGAAATATTGCAAGCCTTTTATTATTTTAATATTGCTGATTATGGCATACAGCTTAAGAAAACTCAAATATCCTATCTCTAAATATTAGAATATCATGAAAAAGTATACTAGTAGGGTGTTCAACGAATCACTTGAATCGTCTAATTAACTCGAAACACCTGCAAGGGTTTCCTGAGCCTTGAAAAACACTCAGCTTGGTTCAGTAAACTAAATCACAAGTATGGGGAAGACTGCTGATCTGACTGCTGTCCAGAGGACCGTCATTGACACCCTCCATCAGGAGGGTAAGACACAAAAAGAAATTTCTCAAAGAGCAAGCTGTTCACAGAGTGCAGTTTCAAAGCACATCCACAAAAAGTCTGTTGGAAGGGGGAAATGTGGCAGGAAACGCTGCACAACCAAGAGAGATGACCGCAGCCTTAACAGCATTGTGAAGAAGAGTCGCTTCCAGAATTTGGGGGA